CTCACAGCAACCTCCAACTCTTGGGCTCAAGAGAGTCTCCTGCCTCTGCCTCCCAAGTAGCTGGGACTCCAGGCACCCGCCACAACGCCCGGCTATTTTCTGGTTGCAGCTATCGTTGTTTGGCAGGCCTGGGCTGGATTTGAACCCACCAGCTCAGGTGTATGTGGTTGGCACCTTACCTGCTTGAGCCACAGGTGCCAAGCTGGCCTTTCATTTTCTAACCAAGTAGATTAATAGTATCTGTCCTTGACATCTCCTGGACTCAAAACATGAGTTCACTAGGCTATTACAAGCACAGGCCAGCCAGCCCCAGCATCCCAGTATTTACCTTGTGCAAGCAGAAAGTCCACAGTCCCTAGATGGCCTTCGGAAGCAGCCATCATTAAAGGAGTACGGCCCTGCTTGTCTGCCATGTTGACATCAGCTCCATGGGTGAGTAAAAGATCAACAATCTGCAAGTGCAGAGAAACATGGACTAATTAACCCAAAAAGACCTGCTGAGAAGGCACGAGCACACCATCCCATACATTGTGTGAGCTCCTGCTGCTCCACAGGGCAGTCTCCTTTATATGTAGCTTTCCACTGCAAGAACCTCCTACAAGTACTTGTACAGTTTTAGTACCTGTGACTTATTCTCTTAACTCTTTTACGGACAGCCAAATGAGAAAGATTTAATTCTGAATATCTGACTCAGCTACTAAGTAAAAAAGAATTTAGATAACAAAGGCCAAGATGTAGATTAAACAATTCCACAATGGAAGTTCCAACATAAGTCACAACCTACATTAGTGCCATTTTGTTTCCCTGGCAGTTGCAAACTTGCCTGCAATTCATAGTTATGAATGAACTTAATACAGTAAGGCACCTAGATAGATCTTTAGCACTATTTGGCTCCTACAGCTTTTTTTCTACTCAACCACCTCTGAAGATTATTGTTAATATCTCTCTTTCCCCTCCTGGATACTGTGAAATGTAAGAGGGTCATTTCACAAACAGGACTAAAGTAGTATATATAGTATACATTAATACAATCTATATCACAATAATGATTTTGAATGTTAACTTTCTGTCATGATCTCATTTAACCAGAATATACTTCAAATCTGATTACTGATGGGTAACCCAAATTTGCCTGTGATCTATGTTGTTCTCTGCATCAGAAGTTCCCACCTAGAACTCACTCCTGTCTGAGGGACTGGTAGTGGTTACCCCGCTTACCTGCCAGTGGCCCTGACGAACAGTGCTGAACAGGGGCACTGCCCCTCGGCGGTTTGGCTGGGCCACTGCTGCCCCTTGTTCCAAGAGCAGACGGCACACCTCCAGTTTGCCCCTTCCCGCTGCAGCTGTTAGGGCTAAGGACAGAGAAGAAAAATTGAGGATGGTGGTCTTTGTCCTTTCTAGTCCTCAATAAAGCATGGCAGTGTACTTATGTTTAATGTAATTGCTATTCTAACTCCAAGGATACTGATTTTAGCTAACTTTTCAATGCAGGAAATTTTTAAAGAAAAATAATGACTAAAACCACATTTAAATGGGCTCACAATATTTGGAGACAAGTATAATAATAAACTATTGAAAAATCACTTGATCAAACCCCCTTGGTTTATTTTCCCTGCCCAGATTATCTTCTCTGCTTTGGCCTATCTCTTTTTTTGGCACCTCTTTCTAACTAAAACCTCCTACTCTATGCATGGGTGGAATCTAGAGAGAAGGGCCTTTATAAAAGTAAGCGTCTTTTTTTGAAATTAGCTGGGAAGTCCCTCTGACCATCCTCTATTCCTGGGCTCTCAAACCTAGAGAACCAAAGCCAGGAATTGCAGTCTAAGGGCCTTGGGTCAGTTTTCATTCTTTTTCTTCCTTAATTGAAACAGAAGTTTCTAGTACATTTTCAACCATTTTTAAAATGAGAATCAGAATTGTTCAAGGTAATAGTCTTGAAGATGAGAAAAGAGGTGTGATGAAGGCTGTTTTCTTCAGAGCCACAGGTGAAAAAATAGCTGTAGTTCAGTATAAAAGACACAGCAGGAAGGAACTTAAACTTCACCTTCTTGAGCTTTGTCCACCGTTTACAGACTCTGCTACACTGCAGAGCCTGTGAATGCCTATTTCATTTTCAGAATACCAATTTAATAGTAGAAAGGAGAACTTGGAGGTACTAAGTCCATCTTTAACAAACATGTACTTGTTGAATTTAACCAAGGGATCTCAAATGCCTAGATTTATTGTTTTAAAGAATGGAGGAAGGGTAGGGGGGATGGAAAACAATGTTAGAACATGGTAGGAGTTATGTTTCACTTTAAAGAAAAAAGAGAAGTTTTCCCAAACTGACTTGTGAAAGTGATGTGGCAGTCGGCAGCTCCTTTGTTTACCATGGCTATCTATTCCAACAGCAAATCATAAAATGATAATATTTGGCAGGTGCAGATAGTGCAGTTTAAGCAACTGAAATTTAAATCAAATGGTCACTTGCAAATTATGGCCTGCATTCTGTCTTTGGGCTTGGCCAAATTTATCCACAACTGAGTCATATGCAGAGTCTAATTTTCACAAAGATAAACCTTCAAATAATATACCACAAGGATAACAAGGGCTTATGAAGGAAAATGCTACAATTTTAGAAGATATATACATTCTTAATCCAGATTGATCTATGGCTTGTCCTATATGTATTTTCAGTTTTATTTTAGAAGTCTTTTTTTCGCATTAAAGAAGACTGTTAAATAATACTGCATAAGGAATATAAAAATTATGCAAGGCAAACACTATGGCAAGTAGCCAAACAACAAATTAGGAAAAACATTTGCTACTCTTGTAGATAAAGAGCTAATTTCCTGGCTTGGCACCCATAGCACAGTGGTTACAGCACCAGCCACATACACTGAGGCTGGTGGGTTCAAACCCAGCCCTGGCCTGCTAAAACAATGACAACTGCAACAAAAAAACAGCTAGGCATTGTGGTGGGCACCTGTAGTCCCAGCTACTTGGGAGGCTGAGGCTTGAAAGAATTGTTTAAGGCCAAGAGTTTGAGGTTGCTGTGAGCTGTGATGCCACAGCACTCTGCTGAGGGTGACATAGTGAGACTTTGTCTTAAAAAAAAAAAAAAAGAAAGCTAATTTCCTTAGTATATAGTTTCTACTCTGGAATTCTTGACATTGACATATCTATTTTATTCCTCACAGGAAGGCAGAGGTGTGGTCCTATCTGAGGTAAGGGTCATTTCTAAGCCCTGAATGGATGAGCTCAGGTGTTAATGACTATAATCATTTACTTGAAAAAGTTTTGTCTCTTGTTCTCTAAATGCAAGTGATCTTTCCTAAGTTTCCAACAGTTCAGAAAAAAAAAAAAAGCATTAGTTCTGTACAGGGGTCAGAATGTAATAGTAGTTTAAGAATTTGGGATAGATAATTATTAGGAAGCAAAGAATCAGCTTGTTGCTGGATAAAACAAACCATTTGGAGAATTTACAATTCCCATATTCAGATCCAAATTAAAGTGACTACTAGGTGATGGGGTTGCAGCAAACAAAGCAAATACATTCTTTTTCACAAAAAGAACTTATAGCACCCAGAAGAAAATATAGACAGTATTTCATAAACAAGCCTTTCCCTAATGACACCAGTTCACAGAACACGTTTGAATATTCTTACCGGTCTGGAAAGCTACACTGTCCACTCTAACAATTAATTGTATTGCTCCAGATGGCCCATTTTTCCCCCCGGATATAACATTTATATAAGAGGGAATGTTCCATGTGGCCTTTTTCTTTGTTGTATCATTTCTGTTGTTTTGGTTATGATTTCATTTGGCAGCAATCTTTAGCTGATAGCTGGATATGGTTATTAACACAGCTGGCCAATTTCATCACAGAATAACACAACTATGTAAAATGGAATTTAGATTTTTCTTTCTTTCTTTTTTTTTTTTTAGAGACAGAGTCTTACTTTGTTGCCCTCGGTAGAGTGCTGTAGCATCACAGCTCACAGCAACCTCCAGCTCTTGGGCTCAAGTGATTCTCTTGCCTCAGCCACCCAAGTAGCTGGGACTACAGGCACCTCACAACACCGGCTATTTTTTTGTTGCAGTTTGGCTGGGGCCGGGTTTGAACCCTGCCACCCTCAGTATATGGGGCCAGTGCCCAACTCACTGAGGTCACAGGTGCTGCCTGGAATTTAGACTTTTCAAAATCCAGGATCAAGGAGATGCTTTTGCTGGATTTTATATGAATCTTATCAAAAACTGTTAAAAACTTTTTGAAAGAAAGGGGATTAAAGTAAAGCCAGTTCTGTGAAACATGAAACTAATTTCTAGAGCAAACATAGCACGTAGGAGCCAAATCTCTTACTAAAGACCAGTAACAGAAATTGTTCCCTAGCTTGTCAGCATCTGATGAGATTATCTGACATAAATGGTGTTTTTTCAAAGGAAAACATGTGAGGATTTTGAAGAGGCAGACAGGCTGTAGCTCAGAGCTGGGGAAACAGCCAAAGTCTACTTGGAAGGTATGCTGACACTAAAAAGAAACAGAGAAGCAAATGACTCTTTTATCTATTTTCAACCTTGAAGGAGTACAGCATAGATAGGGCATATAAAGTCAATGAAGGGAAGAGAAGGGAGATGGTTGGGGAGGTATAAATTGATCACTGCTATCCATAACAACATTAAACAAACATTTATTGAGCTATTTGTCAGACACTGCTCTTAAGGAACTCATGGTCAAGTAAGGAAAACAGTCAAAAAAATATAATAATATGCAATGTGATAAGCACATGGGCTTGGTATGGAGGTAGCACAGAGGAAGTGCCTGAGAAGTCCTTCAGAAAGAGGTGATATGTGAGCTGGATGCTGGCAGATAGAGACTTACAGGCATGTAAAGGCAGAGGCAGGAGGCATGACAGGCAAACGGGGAGCATGAGTAAAGGCACTGAGGTGGGAAACCACATGTTTCATGTTACTGGGATGATTGAAGGAGACAGACAATGTATGAAGCCAGAGATCAGGACTGGTCTTTTCATGAGATTTAACTCTTTTAATGTAAGTAGAAAATGAAGGTCGGTGAGCAGGTCGGTTCATACAAATTGTTGAACCGACCATGGCTTGAAACAATTGCTTAGGCTGAAGCCTGAGAGATGATACACAGAAAGGCAGAAGATCAGTTAGAAGGTAGTTGCAATAATCTAGGCAAAAGATGATGAGGGCAGGAATTAAGGGGATCTGGCTTATTTGGTTAAGTTTGGCTTCTTCAGGCCCATGTATTTCCAGAGCTGGCCTCCAGAGTGGCTAGAAGGTCTTAAAGCTAGTCCTGATGCCCTTGTCCATAACACAAGGGAGAATAGGGAGTGGTGACCAATCTTGCCACCTTATTGACTTTTCTTCCATATTGTTCTGTGATAACTCTGAGCGATGGAAGAGGGTCATCTCAATGGTGAAAGCTGGATGTTAAGAAGATGGCATCTGGAAGGATAAAGAGGTTGGAGGAAGGATAAAGGAGGACAAAAGCAACTAGGATATTCTAATGACCTGTTTTTAGAGAATCTGGCATGCAGGCTCGGTGCCTATAGTTCAGTGGCTAGGGTGCCAGCCACATACACTGGAGCTGGTGGGTCTGAATCCAGCTCAGCCTGCCAAACAACAATGACAACTACAACGGAAAAAAAAAATAGCTGGGCATTGTGGAGGGCGCCTGTAGTCTCAGTTACTTGGGTGGCTGAGGCAAGAGAATCATTTGAGCCCAAGAGTTTGAGGTTGCTGTGAGCAGTGATGCCACGGCACTCTGCCCAGGAAGACA